TTATTATCTTTTCTCCTCTCTACTGTGTCTCTCATATTATCTCTTCTCTCTTCTGTGTCTTTTTTTTTTGTCTCCTTTCAGCCCTCTCTTGCATGGCCTCTCTGTTATTCTTGTACTAAACTCAGGCAGGGGAGACAACCAGTTGTGGTGTCAGCACCTGGTGATAATACCCCGGAGGTGTTAACATGCCTACTTACACTCGCTGCTTGCCTCTCTCCTCTCCTTCCCTCTCTCCTCTACCCTCTCTCATCTCCCCTCACTCCTCTCCCCTCTCACCTCTATCCTCTCTCCTCTTCTCTATCCTCTCCACTCTTCCCTCTCTCTTCTCTCCTCTTCCCTCTCTCTACTCCCTGCGTCAACTCTCGTCTCTCCTTTCCACTCTCTCCTTTCCCCTCTCTCCTCTCTACTCTCCCATCTCTTCTCTCCTCTCCCCTCTCTCTTCTCTCCTCCCTCTCTCCTCTCCTCTCCGTCCTGTGTCCTCTCCCATCTCTCCGCTCACAACTCTTCTCTATCCTCTCCTCTCCTCTTTTCCCTTTCTCCTCTCTACTCTCTCCTATCCCCTTCCCTTTCTCACCTCTCTCCTTTCCACTCTTTCCACTCCCCTATCACCTCTCTTCTCTAACCTCTCTCTTCTCCCCTCTCTCCTCACCCCTCTCTCCACTCCCCCTCTTTCCTCTCCCCCCTTCTCTCTAACAAACAAATTAATGTTATTGACCAGACCAAAACATGGGAGGTGGCCGGCCTTGGAACGAGATGTGAACCCACCACAGACAGTGAAGAAAAACAAAAAAAATATTGAGAAAATTCGTGTTAGAATTATTAATCTTACCTTTTCGGTTATATTCAACAACATATGTTTACAAGAAAGACTGCTACCAAAATATACTAATATCAGTGTTTAGTGATCGTCAATTGCATATATATATATATATATATATATATATATATATATATATATATATATATATATATATATATATATATATATATATATATATATATATAAAGAAAAATAATTGAGTACCACCTTTAGCTGGAAGAAGGGGGACCCATAGCCTCGGAGGAAACCACGCATAACGCATTAGAGGGAATGTTTAGATCCCCTCCAATACAGTTTCTGTGTGCTTTTCTCCTACCACCCCCTTCCTTTTTTATTTTTTGTGCTTTATTATGCATTTGATGGTTACAAGATATACATGGGTTGATAAAAAAATAATAATGTAAAAAGGTGCTTAAAGGTTATGGATCTCTTGAAAAACACAACAATGGGAAACATTGATGAATGTCACAGACGGGTTCGATCATTGTTGCAAGTCAAACACTTCTTCGAATTCCTCTGAAGTTGGACTAGTGCCCAAGACGCAACAGGCATTTCCCCTCTGAATCGCAACACTGAGGCGCTGGAACAAGAAACTTTTTGCTCTCTGGTCTTTTGTAGCGCTGATCAATTTGTCCCCCAATTCCTTCAGGAACTTCAATGCACATTTTCCCCACGAACCGAGGGTCTCCGAGCCGATCGGAACAAAGCTGTAGCAGTGTGCTAGACCTCTGTATTTAATAATTTTCTGCGATTCCCTGAAAGAAGCAGCACCACCGCTTTCACATGTGCTGTAGTGGAGGTAGGTACTGGCCAGTGTGGCAGCGCACGTGTAGTCCCATACCACTTGCTTACCATCCTTCCAAGGTAGCAAGGTGACCCCATCAGGGCGCTTCTGAGGGTCGTTAGGTCTGGATAAGTGTGGTTCTCTTTGTGCCGGGCAGCGGGCTGTGGCGAGGCTCCTCTTGATGTCGTTGACTTCTTCATGTCTTGCAATTTTACCCTGTGATTTACGACATACCAGACCATGACGACCATATTGGTCTGCCATCGCAGTTCCGCAGATGCACCTATGTTCGGTGAGGATGGGGGCGGCAAGGCGAAGGGCAACTCCAATGCGGAGACCGTCATGACTGAGGCGAGTTTCCAGGGCTGCATTGGGCAAAGCAAATAAAAATATATATATATATATATATATATATATATATATATATATATATATATATATATATATATATATATATATATATATATATATATATATATATATATATATATATATATATGTGTGTGTATATCACGAAAATAAACACGTGATTAAGAATGTGACAATGTCAGACCACGGAGGAAAAATGAAACAGGAAATTTCCTTAAGTACTTTCGTATATTAAATACATCTTCAGAAGGTCCTTCTGAAGATGTATTTAATATACGAAAGTACTTAAGGAAATTTCCTGTTTCATTTTTCCTCCGTGGTCTGACATTGTCATATATATATATATATATATATATATATATATATATATATATATATATATATATATATATATATATATATATATATATATATATATATATATATACACATATGTCGTACCTAGTAGCCAGAACGCACTTCTCAGCCTACTATGCAAGGCCCGATTTGCCTAATAAGCCAAGTTTTACTGAATTAATATATTTTCTCTTATTTTTTTCTTATGAAATGATAAAGCTACCCATTTCATTATGTAGGAGGTCAATTTTTTTATTGGAGTTAAAATTATCGTAGATATATGACCAAACCTAACCAACCCTACCTAACCTAACCTATCTTTATAGGTTAGGTTAGGTTAGGTAGCCGAAAAAGTTAGGTTAGGTTAGGCAGGTTAGGTAGTCAAAAAACATTAATTCAGTAAAACTTGGCTTATTAGGCAAATTGGGCCTTGCATAGTAGGCTGAGAAGTGCGTTCTAGCTACTAGGTACGACATATATATATATATATATATATATATATATATATATATATATATATATATATATATATATATATATATATATATATATATATATATATATTATTAAATATGACCGAAAAAGTAAGATTAATAATTCTAACACGAATTTTCTCAATCTTCCGTACATTACGCTTCACTGTTGGAGGTAAATCAAAAATCAATTCTCCAAAATTCATTTTTATTTCTAGTCTGACGCGACACGGGCGCGTTTCGTAAAACTTATTACATTTTCAAAGACTTTAGTTCACAAATGCACAACTGAATAGAACTTACGTATCTCCGATTTTATATCTACATTTGAGTGAGGTGGAAGGGGTGATGTGGCATTAACACAAGACAGAACAAAATGTGGTATTAATAGGGTATTAATTTCATCAACACAAGACAGAACAAGGGTATTAATAGGGTATTAATTTCATCAACACAAGACAGAACACGAAACAATGGATATTGAATAGAAGTGTTTGTAGAAAGCCTATTGGTCCATATTTCTTGATGCTTCTATATTGGAGCGGAGTCTTGAGGTGGGTAGAATATAGTTGTGCAATAATTGGCTGTTGATTGCTGGTGTTGACTTCTTGATGTGTAGTGCCTCGCAAACGTCAAGCCGCCTGCTATCGCTGTATCTATCGATGATTTCTGTGTTGTTTACTAGGATTTCTCTGGCGATGGTTTGGTTGTGGGAAGAGATTATATGTTCCTTAATGGAGCCCTGTTGCTTATGCATCGTTAAACGCCTAGAAAAAGATGTTGTTGTCTTGCCTATATACTGGGTTTTTTGGAGCTTACAGTCCCCAAGTGGGCATTTGAAGGCATAGACGACGTTAGTCTCTTTTAAAGCGTTCTGTTTTGTGTCTGGAGAGTTTCTCATGAGTAGGCTGGCCGTTTTTCTGGTTTTATAGTAAATAGTCAGTTGTATCCTCTGATTTTTGTCTGTAGGGATAACGTTTCTATTAACAATATCTTTCAGGACCCTTTCCTCCGTTTTATGAGCTGTGGAAAAGAAGTTCCTGTAAAATAGTCTAATAGGGGGTATAGGTGTTGTGTTAGTTGTCTCTTCAGAGGTTGCATGGCTTTTCACTTTCCTTCTTGGAAAGCCATGCAACCTCTGAAGAGACAACTAACACAACACCTATACCCCCTATTAGACTATTTTACAGGAACTTCTTTTCCACAGCTCATAAAACGGAGGAAAGGGTCCTGAAAGATATTGTTAATAGAAACGTTATCCCTACAGACAAAAATCAGAGGATACAACTGACGATTTACTATAAAACCAGAAAAACGGCCAGCCTACTCATGAGAAACTCTCCAGACACAAAACAGAACGCTTTAAAAGAGACTAACGTCGTCTATGCCTTCAAATGCCCACTTGGGGACTGTAAGCTCCAAAAAACCCAGTATATAGGCAAGACAACAACATCTCTTTCTAGGCGTTTAACGATGCATAAGCAACAGGGCTCCATTAAGGAACATATAATCTCTTCCCACAACCAAACCATCGCCAGAGAAATCCTAGTAAACAACACAGAAATCATCGATAGATACAGCGATAGCAGGCGGCTTGACGTTTACGAGGCACTACACATCAAGAAGTCAACACCAGCAATCAACAGCCAATTATTGCACAACTATATTCTACCCACCTCAAGACTCCGCTCCAATATAGAAGCATCAAGAAATATGGACCAATAGGCTTTCTACAAACACTTCTATTCAATATCCATTGTTTCGTGTTCTGTCTTGTGTTGATGAAATTAATACCCTATTAATACCCTTGTTCTGTCTTGTGTTGATGAAATTAATACCCTATTAATACCACATTTTGTTCTGTCTTGTGTTAATGCCACATCACCCCTTCCACCTCACTCAAATGTAGATATAAAATTGGAGATACGTAAGTTCTATTCAGTTGTGTATTTGTGAACTAAAGTCTTTGAAAATGTAATAAGTTTTACGAAACGCGCCCGTGTCGCGTCAGACTAGAAATAAAAATGAATTTTGGAGAATTGATTTTTGATTTACCTCCAACAGTGAAGCGTAATGTACGAAAGATTGAGAAAATTCGTGTTAGAATTATTAATCTTACTTTTTCGGTCATATTTAATAATATATGTCTACAGGAAAGACTGCTACCAAAATATACTAATATATATATATTTATACCCACCCTCAACAGTGCCTACCTTTGGCTCTCCTGATGAGAGGCAGGAAGGTCTTGGTGGCGGCGACGGTGCCCAATAGGTTCACCTCTAGTACTTTCCTGTAGGTGGCGTCCGGGACCCACTCCACCTCGCCGAAGGTAGAGATGCCAGCGTTGTTCACCAGGCCCCATAGCTCCTCTGTCACAAGATAAAGATGAGTCAAGGTATTACTTTCTAATTGTCAATTATGTCAATATATGTACGATGGTTCACATCGTTACTATAGTAGATTATAGTAACCAATGATTATAGTAACTAGTTCATTACCAATGTTGGTGATCTCACACACACAGCTTCGTGAACACTCATTGTCCTGATGTGGTTGTTGTGCTAGAATCGTTTCTAGATGACAGGACTCCTGAGAATTCTGCAAAGATTGCTGGTTATATCTCATGAACGCACCGGGACAGGCAGAGCCGAGGTGTGGGAGTTGCAGTTTGCATCAGAACATCTGTACACGCCCGACCGGTTGATGTGGTCATCTCTGGTCATTTTTAAATTATGTTCTTCAAAATGTGAATAAATCCCGGAACTACATTACAATGCTCCAGATGTACAAAGTACAAACCTTAATGGCCTCTCCAATCAACATCCTGATGGACATCCTGGACTCCTTACTAATGGAACTATACTGTCAGCACATAATAAATCTGGGTGACCTCAGTCAGTATCTCTTACACAGGGAGTCTGATGAACCTTTAGTAGTTTTCAAGCTAAAAAAAAAATCCACCTCATATCAGGCTCGTCCCTCGATCCTGTGGTAACTGACCTTCCTGCAAGCATAGTTCACTGCAGACATCTGGGATGTTTGTTCATCAGGCCACCAGGCTGTCGATACTAAACTGGCTATCCTGACAGATCGAGGTTTGAACTACCTGGCATTGGGACGAGGAACTAGCCAGCCATGCGCATAGAGCTTGAAGCAACTGATTGAAAGACGTGAACAGCCAGCAAACGCCTTCATCAACCACATACCGGACCTCTAGCATAGGCGTATCCCTCACCGGCAGTGTGTGACCAAGCCTACTGATCAACCTTGGTTTGGATATCGCTGCTGGATGGCAGCCGAGGCATCCCTCGGTTTATAATGGAAACATTCATAGACGATCTTGTTTATTGAAAGAAGTTCGAAAGTGGTCTATATCCAGATGGGAATAAGAAACTCGAAGAAAACTTTCATCTGGAAAAGTTGGATCCAAAGTCTGGTGGTCCCTGGTGAAAGACTGGCAGAGATGTTCATCTGAGGACACAATCCTGCCTCTAAACCGGGAGGATGGAACTGTTGCAACCAGTAATCAGGAGAATGCTGACCTGATGGTAAACCACTTTGCTGCCAAGATATAAGTCCCAAATTCTGAGCCTTAACCTCCACATCTTGTTCCAAGCTGTGTGTCTAGGATTACAGATTACTCACACACCAACAAATGTGTGTGAGCGAGCCTTCCGGACCCAGATTGGTCTCACCCTCCATCACCTGACACACAGCCATCGACCTTCTACCTGATATATTAAAGTCATGGTCATCCTCGCATCCGAAGGACAACCATCAACAACTACAGACCAGTGTCATGGCTTTCCATTACTGGTAAAATTCTAGAAACAATAATCTCTGAGCTAATGATACAAGTTTTTTACCATCATCAGCTACTATGTGATCGACAGTGTGGTTTAGGAAAAGTCCAACCTGCTGCTGATCTATGTATAAATCTCCCCACAGAGTGGCATCAATCACTGGATGAATCCAAGATCAGCTGTGATGTTGCTCTAGACATAGTAGGTACCTTTAATCAGGTATTTCACTCTAGATTAGTAATGAAGCTTCAAGCATTACGTATCTCAGACTTCATCTTAGAACTAATAATAAGGAATTACCTAAAGGAACAGACTCTAAGAGTAGTCCTCAATGGAGCAGAATCCGAAAGCCATTCAATTGGTGGCAGTGTACCACAGGGTAGTGTGCTTGGCCCTCTGCTGTGGAATTTCTATTTCAATGATCTACTTCACCTCATTCCTGAAGCTCAAGTATATGCTGCCAACTGCACTCCAACCTTGACATTAGGAAAATAAGAAATGCCAACTGCTACAAGACTCACAAATCACCAACTTTAAGTGATTTCTACCTGAGGAAGATGGAAGGTCACATGTGCAGCTGTGAAAACACATGTAATGATAACTAGACTGTACATTGGAAATTGGACAGGCCTGCAAATGGGTCGCATCTGGAGAAAGTGCACCACCAGGTAACAAAAATCGTTCGGGAGCTAAAACTCTCGAATCAAGAACGGTTGAGGCCACCGGGCTAACAACACTGCAAACCAGGCATGACAGGGTGGATCTCATTGAAACTTTAAAAATACTGAACAGTTTGCAGGATGTTGACCTGGACAATTTATTCAAAAGGTCAGGTGTACCACAAACAAGGAACAACAGTTTGATGCTCAACAAGCCACAATGTAGAACTGAGAACAGATGTGTTTTCACCCACAGGGCTATAAACTCATGGAACCGCCTACCCGCCGAAGCCGTAAAGGCCAAAACTCTGTTAAATTTCAAAATCCCACTGAAAGATAATCAGGGCAAAGACGGGGGACATTTGACAAGCCGCTGGCTTCCTGTCCTCGTCGAGGCCGCTAGAGTGTTAGTGGCCCTAACGTAAATTCAGGTAAAATCCTAACGTTTAGATGAAATTGACATAATGGGCATGAAGTTTAACTCTTCTATGAGAACGAAGAGCCACGTGCTTAACCTTGCCCAAATGGCAGCCAGGAAACTTACATCCCTCTGGTGCATATCACACCTGCCTGGTGGATGAGTAGACAGTGCTCGGGATTCGTAATCCTAGAGTCAGGGGATCGATCCCCGGCGATGGCGGAAACAAAAGGGCAGTTTCTTTCACACTAATGCATCTGTTCACCTAGCAGTAGATAGGTACTTGGAAGTTAGACAGGAGTTACGGGCTGCTTCCTGTGTGTGTGTGTGTGTGTACTCACCTAATTGTACTCACATAATTGTGCTTGCGGGGGTTGAGCTTTGGCTCTTTGGTCCCGCCTCTCAACTGTCAATCAACTGGTGTACAGATTCCTGAGCCTACTGGGCTCTATCATATCTACATTTGAAACTGTGTATGGAGTCAGCCTCCACCACATCACTTCCTAGTGCATTCCATTTATTAACTACTCTGACACTGAAAAAATTCTTTCTAACGTCTCTGTGGCTCATCTGGGTACTAAGTTTCCACCTGTGTCTCCTTGTTCGTGTCCCACCCGTGCTGAAGAGTTTGTCTTTGTCCACCCTGTCAATTCCCCTGAGAATTTTGTAGGTGGTTATCATGTCTCCCCTTACTCTTCTGTTTTCCAGGGATGTGAGGTTCAGCTCCTTTAGCCTTTCCTCGTAGCTCAATCCTCTCAGTTCCGGGACGAGCCTGGTGGCATACCGCTGAATCTTCTCTATCTTTGTTTTGTGTTTAACTAGGTATGGACTCCAGGCTGGAGCTGCATACTCCAGGATTGGTCTTACATAAGTGGTATACAGGGTTCTGAAAGATTCCTTACACAAGTTTCTGAAGGCAGTTCTTATGTTGGCCAGTCTAGCATATGACGCTGAAGATATTCTTTTGATGTGGGCCTCTGGGGACAGGTTCGGTGTGATATCAACCCCCAGATCCTTCTCTCTATTTGACTCTTGCAGGATTTCCCCTCCCAGATGATACCTTGTGTTCAGCCTCCTGCTCCCTTCGCCTAATTTCATCACCTTACACTTTCCCGAGTTGAACTTTAGCAGCCATTTTCTAGACCATTCCTCCAGTTTATCCAGGTCATCCTGTAGTCTCTGTCTATCTTCATCCGTCTTGATTCTTCTCATAATTTTTGTATCATCAGAAAACATCGAGAGGAATGAGTCTATACCCTCTGGAAGATCGTTCACATATAATAGAAACAGGATGGGTCCAAGTACTGAGCCCTGTGGGACTCCGCTGGTGACATCTCGCCACTCTGATGTCTCCTCCTCACCGTTACTCGCTGTTTCCTGTTGCTTAAGTACTCCCTTATCCACTGGAGCACCTTCCCTTTTACTCCTGCCTGTTGCTCCAACTTTTTTAACAGCCTTTTATGGGGTACTGTGTCAAAGGCTTTTTGGCAATCCAGGAAAATGCAGTCGGCCCACCCTTCTCTTTCCTGCCTAATTTTCGTTGCCTGGTCATAAAATTCTATTAAACCTGTGAGGCACGATTTACCATCTCTGAACCCATGTTGGTGGTGCGTTACAAAGTTATTTCCCTCCAGATGCTCTACGAGCCTTTTCCTCACGATCTTCTCCAGCACCTAGCATGGTATACAAGTTAAGGAAACTAGCCTGTAATTCAGTGCCTCTTGCCTGTCACCCTTTTTGAATATTGGGACCACGTTAGCTGTCTTCCAACTTTCTGGTAAGTCTCCTGTTTCCAGTGACCTGTTATACACCATAGAGAGTGGCACACTTAGTGCTTCTGCACCTTCCTTTAGTATCCATGGTGAGATTCTATCAGGCCCAACAGCCTTTGTCACATCCAGCTCCAGCAGACACCTTTTGACCTCATCACTGATGAGGTCAAATTCCTCCAAGGTTGCTTGGTTTGCCGCCTCCTCATTTAGTGCAGGGGCTTCTCCTTGTTCTATTGTGAAGACCTCCTGGAATCTCTTGTTGAGTTCTTCACACACCTCCTTGTCATTCTCTGTGTATCTGTTCTCCCCTTTCTGCAGCTTCATCACTTGTTCCTTCACTGCTGTTTTCCTCCTGATATGGCTGTGGAGCAGCTTTGGTTGGGTCTTGGCTTTACTCGCGATGTCATTTTCAAACTGTCTCTCTGCTTCCCTCCTCACTCTGATGTACTCATTTCTGGCCCTCTGGTATCTCTCCCTGCTCTCTGGTGTTCTGTTATTTCTGTAGTTTCTCCATGTTCTTTTACTCAGTTGTTTCGCTACCTTACATTCCTGGTTGAACCATGGGTTTTTCTGTTGTTTTTCGTTTTTCTCCTTTTGGACGGGGATAAACCTGTCTGCAGCTTCCTGACACTTTTGGGTGACAAAATCCATCATGACCTGCACATTCTTGTCTCTAATTTCTGTTTCCCATGGTATTCCCCTGAGGAAGTTCCTCAT